GAGAGCAAATACAGAGGGTTCACCACAAGGTGCAAATCATTCATACGCCTGAAGAGTAAAAAAGCCAGATTACACTTTGCCAAAAAGCATCTAAAAAAGCCGGAACAGTTCTGGAAAAGCATTCTTTGGATGGATGAAACTAAGATTAATCTGTACCAGAATGACGGGAAGAAAAGTATGGAGAAGGCGTGGAACAGCTCATGATTCAAAGCACACAACGTCATCTGTAAAAAATGTGGAGGAGGTGTGATGGCATGGGCATGCATGGCTTCCAGTGGCACTGGATCATTGGTGTTTATTGATGATGTGACAGAAGACAGAAGCAGCCGGATGAATTCTGCAGTGTTTACAGATATACTGTCAGCCCAGATTCAGCCAAATGCAGCTTCACAGTACAGATGGACAATGATCCAAAACACACTGCAAAAGCAACCCAGGAGCTTTTGAAGGAAAAAAAGTGGAATATTCTGCAATGGCCAAGTCAATCACCTGATCACAACCCAATTAAGCATGCATTTCATTTGTTGAAGGCAAAACTAAGGGCAGAAAGACCCACAAACAAAACAACTGAAGACAGCTGCAGTTAGAGCCTGGCAAAGCATCAGAAAGGAGGAAACCCAGTCTTTGGTAATGTCCATGGGTTCCAGACTTCAGGTAAAACATCAGAAAGGAGGGAAACCCAGTCTTTGGTCATGTCCATGGGTTCCAGACTTCAGGTAAAGCATCAGAAAGGAGGGAACCCAGTCTTTGGTCATGTCCATGGGTTCCAGACTTCAGGTAAAGCATCAGAAAGGAGGGAAACCCAGTCTTTGGTCATGTCCATGGGTTCCAGACTTCAGGTAAAGCATCAGAAAGGAGGGAAACCCAGTCTTTGGTCATGTCCATGGGTTCCAGACTTCAGGCAGTCATTGCCAGTAAAGGATTCTTAACAAAATATTACAAATGAACATTTTATTTATGATTCTATTCAATTGTCCAATTACATTTGAGCCCCTGAAAATGGAGGGACTGTGTATAAAAAATGGCTGCAGTTCCTAAAATTTGTACTTGATATCTATGTTCAACCCCTTGAATTAAAGCTGAAAGTCTGCACTTCAATTCATTTGGATTGTTTCGTTTTAATTTATTCTGGTGGCATACAGAACCAAAAGTATGAAAACTGTGTCCAAATATATATATGGACCTAACGGTATGTATGCATATGAGGGAAATAAACAAAAATGATCTAAAACATGCAAATTGTGCATTTCATTGCAGTCGTCTGGGGGGGAAAAAACATGCCGGTCTGCCCATATCGAGCTACAAAAGCAACTCTAAAACTTTTTTGAGTTTCAGGTGTTTGGCTTCAGGCTTGAAATGGAGATGTGAACCAACTCCATGGAGAATAATCAATATTTTTTTTCTCCTTTAGCGGTTTCAAGCCTCAAGCTACAAAACGCTCAGGTGTGAATAAAGCCATATAACTGGCATCATTAGATGCTCGTACCTTTTACTGCGCTCTTCCAGCTACTTCTGCAGTCCAGCTACAAAATTCTACGCAAATACCAGCTTTCTGAATGTCTATTTGCCTAGGGTTGGCACATCTTCACTTCAAGTCTCTCGAAGCTCATGCAAGTTCTAGAGCTTTTTTTTTGTCGCTCAAATCGGACAGATTTTCTAGTTTTTTAGCACTTTTAACCACTTGAGCTCCAGAGGATTTACCCCCTTAATGACCAGGCCTCTTTTTGCTACTCGGCGCTGCACTAATTCAACTGATAATTGCGCGGTCATGCAATGCTGCACCCAAACGAAATTTACGTCCTTTTTTCACACAAATAGAGCTTTCTTTCGGTGTAATTTGATCACCTGTGCGCTTTTTATTTTTCACGTTATAAACAAAAAAAGGCCAACAATTTTGAAGAAAAACAATATTTTTTACTTTCAGCTATAAAAAATATATAGTAAACTCAAAGTTGGTTATAAATTTAGGCCAAAATGTATTCTGCTCCATGTTTTTGGTAAAAAAAATCCCAATAAGTGTATATTGATTGCTTTGTGTGAAGTTATAGCGTCTACAAACTATGGTATAAATACTGCAACTTACGCCATTTTTCCGCTATACAGCACCGCGCTAGTTTAACAGACAATTGCGCGGTCATGCAATACGGTACATAAATGAAATTTACATCCTTTTTTTTTCCCCACAAATTGAGCTTTCTTTCGGTGGTATTTGATCGCCTGTGCGGTTTTTATTTTTTGTGCTATAAAAAAAAAAGGATGACAATTTTGAGGAAAAACAAACAATATTTTGGACTTTTTGCTATAAAACATGTTCAGTAAAAAAAAAAATGCAAAAATCAAATTTAGTCATAAATTTCTGCCAAAATGCATTCTGCGACATGTCTTTGCTAAAAAAAAACCCAATACGTGTAAATTAATTGGTTTACGTGAAAGCTATAGCGTTTACAAATGGCGGGAAAGATACTGGGATTTTTAGGTTTTTTTTTTTATACTAATGGAGGAAGGGGTTAACTTTATTTTGCAGGGAAGGATTATAGGAGTGAGGGGAGTGTTTTACTAGGGGGCGGGGGGGTGTGCTGGACGGGACAAGGCTGATCGAGAAAGAGAAACTGTTCTTTCTCGATCAGCTCATCCTCGAGCTGACAGGGAAGTGACAGACAGCACAGCTACTGCAGCTGTGCTCTCTGTCACTGTTTGCCGCCGTTCGGCGGGAAACAGCCGCTAAGGAGCGGCTGTGACCCGGCGACTGACATCTGCGGCGGTGATTGGCGGGACGTTTTAAAACGTGGTTTTGCCTGCGAGTGCCGCCCTGTAGCCGTATATGTACAGTGGCTGGGCGGCATGTAGTTAATACCATAGAAATG